ATTAATATGGGCTTTTACAAGGAATATGGGAAGGCTCTTAGGATTATAGCAGATATGATGGGAAGATGGTCGGAATTTCGTTCATTTAGAGGTCGAGGTAGACTGAATTGAAGTACAGTGGATGATGTCAAAGGAAATTTGATTGTGGGGATATGTGGATACGAACGTTGGATGATGAACTAACATTTGATTGCTTTCTAAAATTTATGAAGAAAAATTACGGCTGGAGTATTTGTTCTGCAGCTCCGTTTTAAACGTTTGGCATTCAAGTTCCCGCCTAGTATTATGGTGGCGTTTGAGGCAAATCGAGATCTTTGGTTGGAGGGCGGAATGACGGGCTTCTTTAGGCGGAAATAAAATTTATTGGTCCCGTCGCAATGCCGATTTCAACTATGGTAGCTTCCAGGTTTATTAGTTGCTGCGAATTTAAGCGGGTGTGTGGGAGAGTGCGTCTGACCGCTTTTGCCGTTCCTCCGCCTTGGCGTGCTGAGCGGTCGTTTTGGTAAATAGGATAGCCACGCAATCTGAACGGTTGACTGCTGTTGAGGTGGGTTTCTTGGGTAAATAAGATGGTTATGGCATAGTCGACATACAAGTTTTAATGACGGCTTGTGATTTTTTAATGCTTCCATTCCGCCATTAAAACAGCTTAGCTACTGGTTGAAAAGCTGAGTTCTTTGGTTAGTAAGGCACCTGAACCTTTTAGGATTTGGATTGCAGTTTTAGCTGCGGTTATTATTGTAGTTAAGTTGAATTGCTTTAAAAGTTGAGACGTTTTAAAAAGGTTGAAGAGTTCGTTAATATCGGCAAAAGTTCCTGACGCTTGATGCTCTATAATTGCTGGATTTGGTTCCTGGGCTGTCCCTGATTGAATGTTCTTCCCCTATCATGTGGGGGCCTGAAGTGGAGTTTTGCAGACGAGGGAACTCGGTGGGCGGCGAATGCTGACCGTGGTTTGTCGCGCTTGCGGGGCTCTGGTCGCGAGTGGCTCCTGCCTTTGTAGTTTGCAGATTGCAAACGGTTTCTACGAAATGAAAAGAGCATTCCCTGTAGGTAGCGGGGTGCTGGCCTGTGCAATTCGCACATTCCGGCTGCGTGTGGAGCTTGTCCACGATCGGGCATTGTGAGGAGCTAAGGTCCCCCGCGCATCCAATATAGCGAGCCTGCCGCCTACAGCCGTTTCTGGTGTACCCCTACGCACTGCAGTTTAGGCAAAGCGGGATGCGATCTCGATCGCGCGATTCTTTTGAAGCATAAATATTTTTTTGAGGTTGGGGTAAATTTGCAATGGGATAGCAATTGAAAATTTGGGATTGGTGAACTCTTATGTTGTAAATCCCTAATCTTTGGAAGGTGTATGCCTTTGCTCTGGATTTCGTGTCGGATGTCTTCTCAAGGCAGGTTAGAGTCTAGGCCTCTAATGACGAGGCGTTTTCGACGTTCGGTGGTGGCGCGATGGAAATCGTAATACACCTGGATGGAAATAGTACATGTTTCCCTTGATTGCAAGAGTTTGTCAATGGTCTGGTTGTCTTCACCACAGCCCAGGCGTAGAATTAGGGATTGCGAATTGATTTGAGCGTAAAGGTTTTTTCTGCAATATTCGCGCAAATGCGATGTGGGTCCTACCGGATCCGCATTCACTGCCTCCTCTATGTAAAAGCTGCCAATTGACGAGACGTTAGTATATATCGGCGCGTTGTTGCTAGGTTTGGTCCTACAATTTCGGTTGGTTTTCGCGTCGCTGGTTTATACGACGGTACTCTCTCTGTAAAGTTTGTTATTGCCCCGAGTGCTTTCTTCTGAAGCGGTTATTGCGTAGGGGTCTTCAGGGAGCGAACTCAATTTATTTTGGAGCTGAATGTTATTCTGAACTGGTGGGGCTTGCTTGATAGTTTGAAGAAATTTTTTGATAGTACAAAGGGATTTCTTGAACCCGCAGAATCATCAATATTATTTTGGGCTTGCTCGATTGAGTCAAGGTCTATGTCGCTTCCAGGTTGGGGTCTTTTTATTGGGGCATTGTCATGGTTCGGGCTTGGGCTGTCATCTAGGTGACTAATAATTACGTTAGCCATAACGTGTTGCAGCGTTGGAGTTTTATTGTCATTGTTGTAAGCCATTTTGGAGGCGATTGAGGGGGGGGCGTATGGTATTTGGTGTCTGATCATTGACTTTAGAAGAGAGAGGCGTTGATACCACAGCAGCTCTCACAATTATCGGCGATGGTGTTATTTCAGCAGTGGCAGCCTCCGGGCTGTCGTGTTCGTCGGCGATCTGGAGGAAAGAGAGGCGCGGCAGCTTCCTATGTGCTGGGCGTGGGCTGTGCCCCGCTGGGTTTCCGTCAGGCATCGTGGTTTTGGCGCTGAGGCGACCTATGGCATCAAGGATGGTCGCCGCGGGACGGCGGCGAGGAGGCTTTCCGCGCTCTTTCGGCTAATTACGCCAAGGGCATTCGGGCTCCACCTGCTCAGCTTGCGCACCAAGTATCGCTCTTTGTAGTTGCTCTTTTTTAAAGTGTGCGCCGACAGGGGAGAGAGTACCGCATGGCAAAGTGGACAAAGGCTACGCGAGCGAAAGCTTTAAACACGTTTCGCTTGTTTCGAACTGCACGTCGCAGCGATTCGCGGCGCGGAGGGAGCAGGCGCTCTTACCTCTCGACGCGCGGGAGCAAGGCAGAGGGAGCGGGCGATGCTTCCACCCTAATACCGAACGATCTGCAGGGGCGCGGTGGATCACAAACACATATACGAAATCGCCTCTCCCTGTTGCGGTGGTAGCTACCGCGAAGTGTGGAGGAGAAGGCTGGTTTAATATGGAGGGGTGCTCTCTGGGCCCCCGTGGGAAGGTTTCCCGGAACCTCTGAGGCAACGGGCGGCGCCGCGCGATGTGCGTGCAGGGTCATCGCACTTCGCGGCTGGCGCAAATGCAAGGTGCAAACCAGCGCATGCTAAATTGGTTTTGAAGTGCGCCGCGCCACGCCTAGTAGGTAAGTCGGCGGCGCTGGGTAGCAAGACGAGACGGCTGCGGCGGCTGAGAGACACTCGCGGAAGTATCAAGTCAGTAGTCTACAATAGTAGTAATAATAATCTAAATTACAACGTCCAATTACTCAGGTCTAAAATGTTAACAGGATGTCTAACAGGTTTAAATTGAGTACAAAACTATTTATTGAACTCTTTTGGTTGTGATTACGGAAATCAGGTCCCGTGAACTCTTAGAACCGCCACTGCACTAGCACATAGCTTTCTTACACTATTTGCGAGAGGTCGCCAAATTGTGCGGTGTACACGTCACCAATACTACGACTGCTACGCTAGAATATCAAGACAGCCTTTCCGGAATTCCGTTGTCGACTAATGGAAAGGTGTCGACGAGAATTGAACGTGGCTTGGACGGCCATCGTTTAGGAACGGCAGGAACGAAGTCGCGCTTGTTGAGACCTTGAAAAACACACTAAAGCAGTGAGAAAGTCGCAGCGAAACAGTCGCCGTGATCGCCAGATACACCGACATAGATGAATACCTCGTCGTTTACTGTTTTCTCAGCAAGTGGCCCTTCGCTCTATGCCATTCCAATGATAATGTCGGAAATTGAAATTTTCGTCTTCGTCAGCTAATGATAATTTTTTCTCTAAAAACCATTCAGTTTCCGCGCTAGACAGATTTCCGGTTTATAGACATAACTTTTACGTACTAAATCGTTTTGTTCTGAGAGTTTTTGTCCGGGATGGCAGGTTTCCGTTTTACAGAGGTTTCGTTGTAGGTTTTTCTGTATCACTCATCTGATCGAGATCATTAACTTGTCTTCTCTCCTTCGCATCTTATCTCCACTTACTATATATCTGTACGCCACGTCACGTCTAGACTGTTTACCTTCCACTACACTGCGAATACATTTTACTTTCAATTCTTTTTTAATATCTTTCGCTGAATGCCAGAATAGTACCCTAAGAAACGGGCCACGGACTGCGCACGATCTGTCGTTCCTCTTCCTTATCCGATCCGATCCCCTTACAAACACACATGCACTACACCAGCACATATGACGAGAAACAAGCCGGGAGCATATAGCTTGTCTGGGCTGGGGAAGTGCACTGTTTAGGGGAATACCAGAAGAATTAAATCACTAGCAAGTCGACATTAAGGTCGGTGCCGGATCTCACCATCCAGCAGGAGAGGAACACCGCCACCTCCCGCAATAAAAAATTCAGTACATCAACAGACATGATCATTGCAATTGAAGTGCCGAGAAATATTAATGAATTAATCTGAGACCTTCTGCTCCCCCTTACGCTCTTGTTTACATATGAAACATTTTGCTAGGAGATAAATGAAAATATACAAGGAGAAACTAATTATAACTTTAATTATGCAATTACAAATACAGTTTACTTTGTATCAATTCCACAAATTAAGAGCTTAAAAAAGAAAAGTATGGAATTTATTTTATTTACGGAAATAAAATGTATTTCGTAGGACTATGGGGATCCTTTCAAAATTTTCAAGGGGGGCCATGACTTCAGTGCTCCTCTCTTGTGTGCATGCTTATGTATGTATGTGATTGGATGTACCTACGTGCTTGGATGAGTTAATAAACAGACATCTATTCACTATGCAAGATGCATTCTAGGTATTGATTCTAGGAAGTGATCCGTTTAGGTGCATTTTCTCTCTGGACATATAATACATACCTTGGTCTGTATAGAACTGGGTCTTTCTTTGCAGCAAGAAAACAGCAAAGGAATGCTAGTGGTTATGGATGATATTTTCTTTAAGAAATAGTTATCTTCTAGATTGTTTGATATATAATAAAATAATTGTCTTTGTATACTCATTTTAAAATTAAAGGGTAAAAATAAAAAGTGGAAAAGTATTGAAATTTTAGAAATGATCTGTATTCAAAGAAGATTTTTTGGAGATTTTGTGGAATTCTGTAGATTTCACATTCTTCTATTCAAATATGATTTATTGGAATTCTGTGACCTTTCTTAATTTCAGGATCAGATAGATCATCTCCAGAAGTTTGGAATAACTTCAGATACAATAAATTCTAAGATGGGCGTAAAGGAACGAACTAGAGTTATTTCAGACTTGCGTAGTAAGCAGCCTAATATTCGTCTTTTATATGTAACTCCTGAGCAAGCAAGCACAGACACATTCAAGGTATTAATTGTCTTCTTTTTGGTTTCCTAAGTTTTACAAATTAACTGCCTTTGTAAATGAAATAAAGTATTTTATTTTCTAAATATTTTTTAATTAACATACAATGTTAAAATTGTTACAGAACTTGCTTGAAGAGCTTCATAAGTACAATAAATTGTCCTACATCGTTGTTGATGAAGCACATTGTGTTAGTCAGTGGGGACACGATTTTCGCCCAGATTTTCTCAAACTTGGTCAAATTCGAGTGAGGTATCCGGATGTTCCGTGGGTAGCATTAACTGCTACTGCAAGTGCTGCAGTGAGTATTGAAATCTTTTTTTGAAAGAAAGGGAAAAAGAATGGAAATATAAATATACATTTTTTTATCAAAGTAAAATGGTTTAATCCACTTTTTTGAATTGCACTAAAAACTTTGTATATATGTATAAGCTTTTGATATGAATAATAGGTCTTCCCTTTTTACTCTTACACCCTTACTACACGAGATGGTAAAGTATTGAAATTGTGTGTCAAAAACGGAGATTGCTTGTAATGTGATGATGCAAAGAAAATTCATTTGAAAATTAGTTTCCGAATTTTGTTCTAATATACAGCGTTTTAGGAAATTTATGTCTAAATGATTGTATGAAAATGTATGGAAACTTATGTTATTTTTTTAGGTTGTAGAAGACATAATATCAAACTTGAGACTTAAAAAACCTGTTGATAAGTATAAGACACCATGCTTTCGATCTAATTTATTTTATGATGTTGTATTTAAAGAATTAATGGAAGATCCTGTCGAAAATTTGAAAGATTTTGCGCAAGATTGTTTAGATAGTGAGGTAAGTAATCAAATTAAATATAATGGAACTTTTATTTGATTCATAATTTCCTTTAAATTATATTAAATCCTGATATGTAAATAAAAATTAACTTAAAGGATTGTCTTAGTAAATTGATTTCAGTAAATTTTTACATACCTGAGATAGTAAAAGATTTTGTGATATTTATTTCTTGTTTGCCTTAATGAAGGTTATAATATTGTAATTAACTGTTTCCCTTTACTGTAGAGTGTATCAACCTTAGTTTGCAGTTCAGGGTTACAGGGAGAAATGGAACCTCTGTTTGTACATTGGTTGTTTCCTATAACTCTTTAAATAAAAAGCTGCCGGATTTTTTACATACCTGAAATAGTAAAAGATTTTGTGATTTTTATTTCTTGTTTGCCTTAATGAAGGTTACAATATTGTAATTAACTGTTGCACTTTACTATAGAGTGAATCAACCTTAGTTTGCAGTTCAGGGCTACATGGAGAAATCACATCCTGTTTGTATATTGGTTGTTTTCTATAACCCTCATTAATAAATAGCTGCCAGATTCTTAGTTTTGCCACTAGACAGATTTTTACATCCTTATTTTTGTTTACACATTTTACTATGTACTTTAAGAATAGTTCTGCATTTCTGTGTCACAGTGCCTGTATGTTCATATGATAATATGACTTGGTCATAAATGATTTGGGATGTTGTAGTGCCCTTAAACTTTGTAATCTTTGTTACTATGTGAAAACAATTGCATGATTTGTGTTTTAATCAATACTTTATATTGTGATGTTTTAACAAGCGAATATGGTTTTTGTAATGCATTTGAAAATGTGTTATCTTCAGCTTATTAGTGATTATCTTGATATTAAAGAGTTTTCACAATTTAATAGTACCTCTTTACGTTATCATTATATAAGAATGTTGTTTCTTAATTTTATAAATTCTTATCCCGAAACTACCAAATACATTTTTGTTAAATATATAAAAAAAACTATTTTACATTATCAAGATTAGAATTAATTAAAATCAACTTAGAAATTTGTAACTCCTAAAGTCGATGTAGCTGTTTCTTGTTTTCATATGTTTCATAGCAGAGAAGGAGTCAATGACAGCCCTTTTGTTTGAATTTTAGGCTACAAAAGGTTGTGGAATAATATATTGCCGAACACGTGATTCAACTGAAGAGGTTGCGCAGGACCTTTGCAGGAAAGGAATTAAAGCTGCTGCATACCATGCAGGTATGTTTCCATTTATATTAGTGATAGAATTCTCTAAGAAATGTTTGAATTTAATAGCATATATATTAGGGGAGACTGTTGTACCTTGCTGTGTTCTTTGTTATGTCCCAACGTTCTTTCTCAGAGGGTTCTATTTTTCTAGTACAAGGGTCACTCAAAAAGTTTTGAGAATACTATATATAAAATCGAGATATCAAGTTCTTACCTTCACATCTTCTCGAAGTACTCTCCACACTCTATGCAACATTTCATCCGATTAAACCAATTATCAAATGACGATCGCCACACTTCTTTAGAGATACAGCGAATCTGATCTTCGTATGCAGTCACTGCAGCCTGAGCTGACTCGAAACGATGACCTCGAATTTTTTCTTTCACATAAGGGAAAAGAAAAACCTCACACGGGGCCAGGTCTGGACTGTAGAGGGGATGCGACAGTGTATTAACCCTTGATTCTGTCAGAAATTCAGTTGTTGCTCTGGCTGTGTGGGATGAGGCGTTGTCATGGTGGAGCAGGATTCCACCCAAACCTGATTTTGGACGGTACTTTCTCAGCTCTTCAAACAATCTGGGCAAGCAAATTGTAGTGTACCATCTTGCAGTGACTGTCTTTTGTTCCTCGAGTGACAGTCACAATATGGCCTCTGGCACAAAAGAAAGAACACATCGTTATTTTGCCAACGCTTCTGGGTTTTCTCACTTTCGTTGGATGATTTTCATCTGGGAAGACCCACACTAATGACTGCCGTTACATTTCTGGCGTTACAAATTGATAAATTCAGCTTTCATTGCTCGTCACGATGTTAAAATGTTTTTTGATCTTCCTCCATTGAATCTATCCAGGGTCTCATAACATCAGTCCACTCGCGCCCTTTTTTGTTCATTTGACAGGAGGGATCCAGCGACAGCACAGCTTCCTAACGTGAAGCTTTTCTTTCAGGATCTGTCTCACTGCTGCTGATCCAATAATTAAAGCTTCCTGAATCTGAGAATATGTACAATGAGGTCTTCCCTTGGCGAATGTTCCTCTTTCAGAACATTTTCACCCGTTGTAGCTGCGTTGGGCCTGCCAGAACGGTCTTCATCTTCCAGAGAGTCCCTTCCCCTCTTGAATTCGGCAAACCATCAATAGACAGTGGGTTGTGAAGGACAACCATTGCCAAATGCACGCTGTAATCTCTCGAGGCATGATTTATTATCTATGCCAACCTTAAAGTCACACAAAATCATATCTCTGAAATGCTCTCTCTTTAGGTCCATCGTTACTGGCAGAGGAACAAATAGAACACAAATAGACCTTCTAAGTTCATAAATTACCGGAGCGTGTTCAAACTTGCGCGAGATTCTTACTAAAAGTTCCACCTAACAATGGAAATAGTTTCATTGTTGCTGAGTAACTCATTGTTGTTCATTCTCAAAACTTTTGGACTGACCTTCGTACTGTGCCAACTTGTTAGGAAGTCATTTCTTTCCGACACTAACGTTTTGCTTTTACTTTCCCGTATACATACGTATATACGGAGTAATATACATAGTATAGGGAAAGTTACGTAACGTTATGGAAAATAGATTTCGAGATTTTAACGGAAATACACGTTTTGGGGTCCCCTGATACCGAAAAACTTTTTTTGTCCGTCTGTACACAGTACTAGCACCTAAACCAAACGTATTTTTTCCCAAAATGGATATTCCCCAGTCGATGTAGCTCCTGCGCTTTGTCTTGCTTACAAGACACCCAACTGGTGATTCTGCACATGCGTACCATGAGAGCCGAGTGTGAGAACGGCGTAGTTCAGGGCTTGCCAAATAAATTCTCTGTGACGTCTCAACAATCTGCTCTCATGCTCGGAAGCGAGCCTTGGAGCAAAGCCAGCGCCGGCGTCGGGCGTATAGTTCCAATGATGGAAAGGAAGTGGGAGATAAAGGTTCGCCTGATAATTACGTTTTAAAATGTAATTATTATTTAAATGTTTATGATTCAATAAAAATATGAATAAAAATGGAACGAAGATTATTTCGTAACACAAAGCAATATCCTACTCTACTTATCGTAACTAGTACTATAATTTCATTTCCATTCTTCTAACATATTTTTTTCGGAGAAGATAGTTTTAACATTATAATACATTATTTTATACAATGCTACATAATATAACAATTTTAGTTCGTCCCGAACCAATAACACAGGCACACAAAATTTAAAAAAAATGTAAATAAGTAAAATAAAAAAAAGATGCTGGTATCTTCCCGAACCGAAAAAAAATTAACGGGCGTAAATGATCTCCCCCCTCATGTGCCCTGAAACACCGGTAGAGGCCCATTGGTTTTCGTTATCGGCGACCGCTGTCTGCGCTCCCCTCTCTCCTTTGCTTGCACCGCTTCTCCGAGACGGCGTTCGTGAGGGGAAATTGAGCTCCGACGTCATTTCTCCGCTAGTTGGCAAACGATTGCATAGTCCGTCTTGAGGCTACCCAAGTGCAAAGCCCACCAAATTATCAACTAAAAATAATATTTTTCATAAATTGTAAAAATGCGATTTTTTAAAGCCATCCTTATGAGTCGATGCAGATTCTGGATTGAACTTCGAAAATGCAAAGGAAACTGTGGAAATGCGGTACCTCTGGCAACACAGGTGTAATGCTTCCTATGTCAAGCGTTCCACAGACTTAATATATTTCACGGAGTGTAAGATGAACACGCTTATAGCGCCTCCGGTGGGTCAATGTATCGTTTGTTCGTCCCACGTTTCCCTAAACCCGACTCGTTTGCTCGTCCAATTTCCCTTTACCAAACTTTTGAGTTTTCAACAACGTTCTTCTAAAACGCTCTTGTGGCTCAGGGCGAAAGTCGCTTACCTTTCACTACTGAGGTTCTTAGTTCGATTCCCGTACATTCCCCGTAGATCCTCATGTGAAATTTGCTTCGACAAAACGAGTTTGCCTGCTTCACAGGGGCTAGTCCAAACTGTGATGCGTCCTAAACCTTATTCCTTCCCAATTCTGGCCGATGACACAGGGTGCGTGCGAGACGCGAGCGCGAAGACGATACCTGTCGGCGATTCCCTGTCTTGACTGTGACTGACGTGACTTCGACTACTCAGCGGCCTCTAGAGGGCGCTTGTAACGGAGGATTACTCCAATTGTATAAAGTTAACGGAGGATTAATGGCCATAGAGCGCACAACGCTCCTTAAGGCGTTAGGAGACGCGTTGAGTCTAGACCAAACTCCCGCTATTTAAATACAATCGAAAATTTGTGGGACCATCTCGATCGCGCTGTTCACGCCTTCGATCCTTAACCGAGGAACCTAGCGCTGCTGGCCTGGCACTAGAGTCGGCTTGGCTCCACATCCCTGTCGGCCCCATCCAGAACCTAATGGACTCTCTTCCTGCATGTCTCGCGGCGGTCAGCTGCAAAAGGCGGTGATTCAGGATTTTAGCGAGTGGTCACAATAATATGACTGGACTGTGTATATTACATGTATCATCTGCAATGTGAATAAGTACTAATATTTTCAGGATCATAATAAATATTCTTTATTACTGAAGTATTTTCCCTTATAGGCTTGAGGGAATCAGAAAGAATTAAAATTCAAGAGGAATGGATGAGTGGAAAATACCCAATTATTACTGCAACTGTCAGTTTTGGTATGGGAGTAGATAAGAGTACTGTAAGGTAAGTAAATGGTGTAGTTTTATAAATTTCGCACGTTTTATTGTTGCATTAACAAATTAACGATGAAATATAAGAAGAGTTAACAAATCTAGAATCCCTTTTTTTAATTTATGGATTCAGGTAGTGATTCTCTATTTCAGTCACTTAAAATATGTAAAACCATGATGAAAATAAGTAAATTTCAACAATAGACTATCTAATTTAACATAAAGACATCTTTTTTTTTATGTAAATCGATACTAATATACAAAGACAGAAGTGTGTTGACTTACAGCACAATAATATCTGAATCTACTGAACCAATACCGATGAAATGTTTGTGATAGCTTCTTTTAAAGGCCTGGAGTACTATAGACAACGATTTATAACCATAAACCTTAATATAGTTACAATTTCATTATTTTCAGGACATTTTTTCGCGTAGCTTTTTACATCACACTGAAGAGTGCATCAATGTCAATAGTTCAGCTGCGCGACACCATTCATTTCATCGATGCTCAGAATTGCGTATTTAGATGACTGTTTATTTCCCGCAGTTGTCTAATCCGAATTAATTATGGGTTTTCTCCGCTTTATTTATAAAAGTAACTTGGGTATTGATTTCAATTGCGTGTAGGCGTGAGTACATTAAGTGTACAACAGACGAAATGTTTGGAAGAGATCATATTTTGATTGGTGTGGTTAATATTGTCGTAAACGGTAAGAGTTCATGCATGTTTAGTTGTAGTAAATTAAGCATAATTATTGGAGAGTTTTTGCAAGACGGGAAATCCATTGTCGTGGTACGCAGGCATTATCGTCAATAGGAAATAACGTATCTCTAGACAAATGAGTGTTTGCAAGTTGTACAACCGAAAACATTCGTTAAAACTAGAAACTAATTGGAACTGAATATACCTCTGGATCTAAAAGCTTGTATTGAACATCTGTGTATCTCTGAATCTTTTTTTTTCTTTTGTAAGTATTAGAAGATTGTAAAACATATAATATATGAAATCTGATTGGATCATATGAATATGTAATAAAAGCCTATCTTCAAAGATGACTATTGCTTCCTAGATATTCTTAGAATGTAACCCCGCAATTTTACTACAACATTTTTATATATGGAATGGGAAATGTATGGCAATTTTAATGCCATGTGGATAAATAATTACTTTATCGTGACAATGTAGCCTCCACATTTGTAGCCTCATATACATAACCTCAAATCCTAAACAATAACTTTGGTGTATTCCTGACACATTTCAATTAACTTGAGAAATATTAAGTTCTTGCCATATTATATTGGTATACTATGGATATTGCATTTTTAATTTCTTTCATGCTCAATGCGCGTTAGTGTTGATACTGTGTTTAGTGATGGAGATGAAAACTACGTAAAGTGTAAGTTTGTCGTAGACGACAAAACAGGTTTAGATTTGTTTATTATTTTCAGTTATAATGTGAAATATTCCATGGCCGACATTCATGGCAGACGTTACCAAAACATTCATGGCAGACAACTAGCATATAAAGTATTTAGGCATATCAATAGTGAATTAAAAGACACAGCTAATTTGAAGATTATAAAAGAAAGTCAGTGGATTGAACATTATCAAACTTTATGGTATAACCCTGAAGACGGAAATAGCCAATGAGAAATGCCTGTACAAGCTTCGGTAGATGAGATCGATTTCGAAGAAGTAATAACAGAGCTAAAAATCGTAAAGCTCCGGGACTTGACGAAATAAATGCGGAACGAATTAAATATTGGTGTCTGCTCCTAAGAATCCTCCACCTATTCAACTTATGTTGGAAACAATGCCGTGTCCCTGAAGAATGCGAAAAGTAATCTCATTATTTAAAAAATGGAAAAGGAGCGATTGAGGCAACTATAGAGGTATTATTTTACTACCCACATGCTCTAAAATATATGCAAAAATTTTAAATAAAAGATTTCTTAATATCTCAGAAATGTTTAATAGTAGAAGAACAAAATGTTTTTAGAAAAGGAGGCTCCTGTACAGATAATAGTTTTACCATCCGACAACTAATAGAAAAACGTCGGGAATTTAATCTAGAAACCCATTTAGCTTTGGTTGATTATGAAAAGGCTCTCGATAAATGGAAACGCACCACTTCATGGGAAATTATGGAAAGAAAAGGCTACCCACAGCACTTAATCAATAACATTAAATCTTTGTATCAGAATACCTGTGTTAATTTAGAACTAAAAGAAAAATATTCAAAAGAAATAAAAACAAACCAAGGAGTTCGCCTTGAATGCAGCCTTTCCCCAACATTGTTTAACTTGTACTTGGATGACGTCATTCGAGAACGGAAGAACAAAATTAGCCTAGGAATTAAGCTTTGAACTGAAGTGTACTCCTATTTGCTGATCAAATTTTAATCCACGAAAGTGAGGATGACTTACAGAGAATTCTTGGCTGTCCGGGAGACGCCGCGTCGTTGGCTGGGGTGCCGACGTTTCGCCTGACATGTCGCAGGCTTCCTCAGGGCAGTGATAAAGCCGAGAATTCATGGATTCGAGCCGCGGAAGCTTACGTATACATGACTTACAGAGGTATATCCATCAACGAAACCAAACTTGCAAAGGATATAATCTGAAAATTTCAAAAACGAAGACCAAAACAATGGCATTTGTGGGAAAGCATCTCATATGCACCAAAATGATTTTGGAAAATACGATGCTGAAACAAATAAGCCATTTTTAATTTTGGGCTACAACATAACGTTCCTCATAAAAAATTCATAGATGAAAAAAAAATCATAAATACCAGAATATATGCGGAAATATTCGACGAACTCTTAATGATAAAACACGCAGAGATACTCTCATGAGGATATAGAAAGCAATGGCTGTCCCGTCTCTGTTGTTCGGAAGTGAATGCTGGACTGTGAGGGAGAAAGGCGTTACAGTCTGCTGAAATGAAATTCGTGAGATCTTAAAAAAATGTACCAGAATAGATAAACTCAGAAAGGATGAAATTCAAAAGGAATTAAACGTCCAAGCAATCAATGACTAGGTACAATGTTACAGACATGAATGGTTACAACATGTAGAAGGAATGGAAGAGACTCACATTCCAAAGCAGGTGTTTAAGTATAGGCCTCAAGGCAGAATAGATCCAGGAAGACCCCTAAAAATATGGAATTCTTAGAAGCTGGAACAGGTCATAGGCCTGTCCTTGAAGTGGATGAGGAGGAGAAGTGGAAGATGTGGAAGGAGTGGAAGAAGTTGGGGGACGGAAACCGGAATAAAAATAAAATTTGAATATTTTTTAGTGGGAAAGCGAAAACAAGGGTTGTGTTTTTGTGAGTACGGAAGACCGGGTATTTCCAGATTGGAGCGAGGCAGAGAGAGGAGGTACAATAGAATAGATAGAAGTAGGCTCCGCCGTAGGGCAGGAATAGATGTTCCCCTTTCTGTTTAATAAAAAAATATGATAAATACCTCAGCAACGCGGGGTTCATCAAGTTTTTGATAGGTACTTTAAGTTGTTTTATTGGAAACAAGGCAACAGACCATTTCTATTAATGAACTTTCTGTTAACCAAATCATTCTGTTTTGTTTTTGGATTTTCATGTTCAGGAAAGTTTTCCTAAATTTCTATTAAATAACTGCAAATGTTTGATATTGCTACAGAACTTCCGTCAGTGCCTCAGAGTTTTTGACAATTCCTTTTTATATCTAAGTCAAAACCGCGAAAACAATAGTACTGAAATGTCAGCTCTGAAAATTTCCGATACCCAATTTTATTTGAGATCTTTTTGAAACATGATCCCAGCATACCAAGAAAATCTTTTAAAAACCGAAACTAAAATTATTTTGTATTGTTCCAGCAACGAATTTATTTAAATAATAATTGAATTGAATTTGCCTTTTTTTACGTGGCGAGACTCGGGCCATCAGGCCCGCTCTTCCGTCTGACCACGCAAATTTCGCTACGCTCCTTTCATCAATTAGCAGAGAACGGAGGTATTTCTTGGGCGAGAAACAGGCGATTTGAATTTAGCTCAGAGGCGTCATTTGGGCTTGAGGATCTTTTACATGCAAGTAAATCTACGAACATGGGACAGCCCCCTCCGAAGGAAGGCGTACGAAGGATTTTTTCGCCCTTAAAAATCCACGGCTTCGATCGGGTTTGAACCCGCCAACTTGGGTACAACAGTCCAGTACGTTACCGTTACACCATCGCCGCCGCGGTTTTGGTTTCTCGAAAACTCATTACTTTTCTGCGAAAATGAGCCCAAAATTCTGGATTTTCAAAAAAACATCAAACCCTATTTTCCCGAAAACAGCTTCAAAATTTGTCTTTACATTTTTTGGACGGTTAGTGCTAAATGGTCTAAATAACATGCCGTAAATGTCAGTTTAGAAATGTCTTATATAGAAAAATTACACAAATGTATTTTTTTTTTTTACTTTCTTTCCCTTACATATGTAAGAAGTGAAAGTACTGTAATCGTGCGCCGGAAAATGGTGAATTTTCGACAGAAAATCTCGTACTGTCAAGCCCTCGTAATGAAAAGAAGATAAATTATGTTCTGTATAGTAAATTACTTCTTCAAACACGTGGCGTAGCCAGAATCGATGTTTTGTTAGTCTTTGATACCGACAAGTCGATTGACGGCAAAACGTCTCTCCTGTCTGTGGTCAACGCTAGGGCCTAACTGTTCTGCCGATTTTATCCGAAATTGATGTTCCACGACACAACGAACTCGAGGCTTTGGGAGTTTCAAAATAATATTTTGATTTTTGAGCGTGCTTTACATGAAGACTATAAAACATTTTCGATTTTAAAAAATGGCTCCTAATTTGTTGATTGCCATTCTTTAGCACCATGAGTTCTTGAAAGTGAATTGGAAGTGTGAAAGTGAAGTGTCAAATTTGCCCAATATATGCTGTTAATAAAGCCAGTAAGTATTGGGACTCGTTTTAAAAGGAAGAGTTCTGTATAGGACATAGCTGGATAAAAATCCTCAGCATTGCTGGG